CGTGTCAAAGCCGAGCGGTCCCGACTGATGAAGTCTACTCTACGTCCCACACCTGCCGAGTACGAAAATCCCGAGAGCTTTCGACTCGAACTCCAAAATCGCTTCCAATGCCTAGACGAGTGCGAAACGGCGAACGATATGAGCAACAAGTTTGTGGAAACTGTACACACGGTTGGGTCAAAATTTTTCAGGACCCGCCGTGCTCCTAGAACCGGAAAACTCTCTGACCACACTCTTGAGCTCATGGAGTGGAGGAGGGAAATGACGGTGCAGTCTCCAGCCTCCTGGTCTAAGATGAGGCAGCTAAATAGACAGATCTCGAAGTCTGTGCGACGCGATATTCGACTCTACAATACCAAGCGTATTAAAGAGGCGATAGAGCGGAACCAAGGCTCCAAAGTGTTCGCAAAAGATCTGTCTGCTGGGCAGACTCAGTTGACCAGACTGAAGACCGACAACGGCACTGTCATTTCTTCCAAAGATGAGATCTTGAGCGAGGTCGAGCTGTTCTATGGACAGTTGTATAAAACATCCCAAACTCCTGTTGTCGGCTTGGTCCAAGATCCACGATCCAAGCTAACCCGACACTATACCGAGGACATCCCGGATGTCAGCCTGTACGAGATCAGAATGGCTCTCAAGCAGCTTAAAAACAGTAAAGCACCGGGCGATGACGGAATCACTACGGAGCTTCTGAAGGCGGGCGGTAAGCCGGTCCTCGTGGCCCTTCAGAAGCTATTCGACTCTGTCATCCTCGGGGGCATTGTTCCAGAGGCGTGGACCAGGAGCGTGGTGGTATTGTTCTTCAAGAAAGGCGATAAAACCCGCTTGAAGAACTATCGACCTATCTCGCTCTTGAGCCACGTCTATAAGTTGTTTTCGAGAGTCATTACAAATCGACTTTCGCGCAGGTTCGACGACTTCCAGCCTCCCGAACAAGCCGGTTTCCGAAAGGGCTTTAGTACCATGGACCACATACATACGCTGCGCCAGATCATACAGAAGACCGAGGAGTATAATCGGCCTCTGTGTCTAGCGTATGTGGACTATGAGAAGGCCTTCGATTCGGTCGAGACTTGGGCGGTGCTGCAGTCCCTCCAGCGGTGCCAAATTGACTATCGATATATCGAAGTGTTGAAGTGTTTGTATAGAAACGCCACTATGTCAGTCCGAATCCAGGAGAGAAGTACGAGGCCGATTCCATTGCAGAAGGGTGTCAGACAGGGTGACGTAATTTCCCCGAAACTGTTCACCGCTGCATTGGAAGACGTCTTCAAGCTTCTGGATTGGACCGAACTCGGCATCAACATCAACGGCGAATACATCACTCACCTTCGATTTGCAGACGATATCGTGGTTATGGCAGAATCCCTGGAGGACCTTGGCACAATGCTCAATGACCTCAGCAGAGTTTCCCAACGGGTTGGTTTAAGGATGAACATGGATAAAACCAAGGTCATGTTCAATGTCCATGTCACTCCAGCACCAGTATCTGTTGGGAATGCGATTCTCGAAGTTGTCGATCATTACGTCTACCTAGGACAAACAGTCCAGTTGGGCAAATCCAACTTCGAGAAAGAGGTCAACCGACGAATCCAACTCGGATGGGCAGCGTTCGGGAAGCTTAGGCATATCCTCACGGCCAAAATTCCCCAGTGCCTGAAAAGAAAGGTCTATGACCAGTGTGTGTTACCAGTGATAACTTATGGGACTGAGACGTGGTCTCTGAATGTCGGCCTCATGACAAAACTCAAAGTCGCGCAGCGTGCTATGGAGAGGGCTATGCTCGGTGTTTCCCTACGTGATAAGATCCGGAATACGGAGATCCGTAGAAGGACCGGTGTGTACGACATAGCCCGAAGAGCTAGCACGCTGAAGTGGCAATGGGCAGGCCACATCGCTCGAGGACCTGACAACCGTTGGGTAAGAAAGGTCCTCGAGTGGCGACCACGTACCGGACGACGCAGCGTGGGGCGGCCCCCAACACGGTGGACTGACGACATCGTCAAATGTGCTGGGAGCCGCTGGATGCGGATAGCGCAGGACCGCGCATTGTGGCGTTCTATGGGGGAGGCCTATGTCCAGCAGTGGACGGAAAAAGGCTGATGGATGGATGGATGGATATACTGTACATAATGTAAGTTTAAACATATAAATATATATATATATATATATATATCTTTATATATATAATTCTTCTGTGAGTGTGTATGTCACTGAACTTCTCTTAAACGACTGGACCGATTTTGATGAAATTTTTTGTGTGTGTTCAAGAGGATCTGAGAATGGTTTAGATTCACAATTTTGTCCGCTGGACAACCCCTATTTTTTTAGGGCGGTACGAAGTTCGCTGGGTCAGGTAGTATATATATATATTTATATTTCCAACACTCACACCAATTAGACTAGCCCCAAAAAGCACTGTACGTAAGCTTGTGTTACGGGATACTAGGGTAACGGATAGAAAACATAATACTGATAAATACATAAGTGTAGGTATATTTATATAGATATTAAACATCCATGACTGGAGTACAAATGCTCGTATTCATCACAAAAACACCTGTCCCCACCGGGATTCGAAACCGGGACCTCTCGAGTTATCGACACCACAAACCACTCGGCCACGGAGGTCGTCAATAGGTACTCAAGTCCACGGTTCCTGGAAGCAGTAAAAAAACACACTTCTAGGTTAACGTAAAAAATAACCTATAAATTAGTACGGAGCCCTCAGTGGGCGGGTCCGACTCGCACTTGTCTGTTTTTTTTTGGTGGAACGAAGACCTTTTCGAACGGAACTTCGGCGGATGGGGGCTAGGCAAAAAAAGTTAAAGATTTTTTCGTTACCGCGGAATTAGGCTATTTTGGAGGAAAATTTTGATCTTGACGAGTTTTTGTTTGGGTCCATTTTAGTCCCTCAAATTAAATTTCCTTTTGTACACTTGTTGAATAACTTGTTATTTATATACTAAAGTATCAAATTGTTAAGGCGCACTATACTGAACATCGTCGTTTCGACTTTCGATGTATGATTATAACGACACGGGCAGGCTCGTGGCAGGCATTGAATAAAACTGCTGCAGCAGATTTTTATGCAAGAGATTTTAATGCAGAAAGTGGTTGCTTTCCAATTACAGCATTATAGCGCATTATGCGGCATAATGCTTAACGTTGAGTGTTCCAACCCTAGAGTATACTAGTCAACGCTTCGCACAATTGAGCACTCTCAATCAAAGTGATGCTTTCGTGTGATGCGTGCAATCGTACCAACTTAGAGACAGAAAATTAACAAGTGTTTTTTCTTTAAGTTGGCATTGATCGAAATGTTTTATTTATATGTTATCGTTAGTAATATTATTAATTGTTGAAAAATTATTAAAGCTTTCGTATCATTAAATAGTTTTTTTTAAATAATCAAAGTTCATTCAAACTGTTAAAAAATAAATATAAGTATGGATGAAGGTACAAACATTGACTTTTTTTTTCAACACTGAACTTAGCGCACTCTGCTGGTGCATTTGAAAACTAATTCACGTTCCAATTAAACATCAGCATAATTCGGCATTGTGCGGCACTGAGTCGCATTATGCTCTGTAATTGGAAAGCAACCAGTAGTTTCCCTTCCACCTATGGTAGTTTTTTTGTAGTCTCCAATGGTAGTTTTCTAACTTCCATGGTACAATAGTTTTTACTCATCCAAGGTAGTTTTTTTTTATGGTAATTTCCTCCACCTATGGTAGCTTTCTATGTTAATTTATAACAGTACTTTCCTTTCCATCTATGGTAATTTTCGCCCACTACGGTGGTTTATTACGGTAATTTCCTATGGTAGGTAGTATTTTCGTCCATAGTAATTTTGGTTAGTAGTTCCTATGGTAGTTTTCTGTTTTCCATGGTATTTTTTACTCACCCATGAAAGTTTTATATGGTAATAACAAATATTTTTAAAAATCGGTTCACAATTTCAAGACAATATCGGGGAACTAAAATAAGACATGACCTTTTGAAGTCGGTCAAAAATCAAAAAGGTACCTATGAATTTCTGATATTCATAAGCAAAAACTACTATACTTACTATGTAAGTAGCTAAACGGATTTTTATGATATTTGTTAATTGATATGAAGATTAAGTAGTTAATTACCAGGATTACCTAAAATAGATAAGAATATTCTTCTACAAAAACGTTAGGTTCTTGTGAATTAGCTAAAATAAAAATATAGAACATAAATAAAGCATGGTAAGAACCGTAACATTATGTTGTAGCCTTAAGTCTGTAATTGTGTTAAGTTTTGGGAGAAAATAAATAACTAATTATTATTAAGATGATATCTTCCTCAGGTTATTTTATTGAATTTTTCAGCCACCCAATGTGGTATTCTAAAAAGTTTTTAAATACGAAAATTCCCGAGGCAAAGTCGAGGGCAGTTTAGTATAGTAATCTGAGAGTTTCACAATAAACAAAGTAGAGAAAAAAATAGGTTAGGTAGGTAAAAGTATTATTATTTAACTCTTATCAATCACTGAGACCACGTTAGAAAACATTGTGCTTCATACAGTACTGCATAGGTATTATGAGTAGGGTTGCCGACACTACTCCTACAGTGTCCTCCTCGATCCATTTTTTTTATTTTAAATATATAGTAGGCGAAACTACTATATTTTGCTTAAAGCAGACTTTTGCCAGTAAAAGCTTTCTTAAAATTAAAATTGAAGTATTATGGTATAGAGCAGCAAAAATTTAGTCACTTCAAAAAAAAGTAAATAATTTAACCATATAGGTACTATATTTGTTTCCATTTTTTTGTCATCTACTATATTTTTAGAGGTAACAGCTTCGAAAATACTATATTTGATAGAAAAAAAGTTGGTAACCCTAACTATGAGATAAGAACAATGTTTGAATTATATGTCAACAAATTTAACCTTGATCGGCCAGTCGCTGTCATTGTAATATTAACTTCATTCGCGCGGTCGGTCGGTCGATAGCACAACAAATAAAATGGCGCGCAAAGTGGCAGTCGTAACCGGCGCAAACAAAGGATTAGGATTTGCAATCGTGAAAGGATTGTGTGAAAGGTTCGATGGTATAGTTTACTTGACAGCGAGAAACGAAGACAGGCTTCTAGATGCAGTGAGAAAGTTGAACGACCTCGGACTGCAGCCGGCATACCATCGCCTCGACGTCACAAGCAGCGAGAATGTCAAGGAGTTCGCTCGATACATCAAAACAGAACACGGCGGTTTCGACGTTCTAGTGAATAACGCAGCAATTTTAGAATGGGACGAAGTGTATCCGAATTACGAAGCGGCGAAACGCAACATCGAAACGAACTACGAGAGCTTCTTGAAAATTGAAGAATATCTCTATCCGCTGCTCAGAGATGGCGCTAGGGTTGTCAACATTTCTAGTTCGTGCGGTCATCTCTCCAATTTGAAGAACAAACAATGGATTGAAACGCTTATAAATCCTGATTTAACAACTGAAGAGATCAATAAATTCGTTCAACACTACTTGGAGAGCGTCAAAAATGGCAGTTTTGATAAAAACAACTTTGCCGACGATGGGAAACACGCTGAACATAGGGTGTCGAAAATTGCCGTGACGGCTCTTACTATGGTGCAGCAGAGGAAATATCCGAACATATCCATTAATGCTGTACACCCTGGTCACGTCAAAACAGATATGGCAAACGGAAAGGGGAGTGTCGAGCCTGATGAAGCGGCGAAAGTGGTTTTGTATCTTATCCTGGAGGCATCGCCCAACTTAAAAGGAGCCTTCGTGTGGTACAATAGAAAGTTGGTTGATTGGCTTGATCCTGAAGGAGATTATTATTGTAAAGATGTATGGTAAAATAAAAACTTTATGATTGAATTTTTTTGTGTTTATTCATTCGCCTAGATTAATGGGGGTTCATTATTTTAGGGTAAGATTGGTAGTGTTATAAGTTTAGTGAAATTTTGGAGAATTTCGTTGAATAGTGCATTGCAACATTGCAACAAAATTCCCCAAAATAAAATTGAGCTACCTGTCACTAAATTGAAATTACATGTGAGGAAGACCCTAATAAGTTAAGATTATTACAAAGTGGAAGACTATTCAAAGGACCGTAATACATGGAAATAATAGCCTCGCCCTCTGCCATAATTTGTTAACAATTAATTGTGTAGGATTATCCTTTCTCTTTAATTAAATACAAGAAACTAAAAGCTGACTCATAAACTACAACTATTTATCTTGTTTTACTATTGTATTGGTAATATAAAAATGTAATTATAGTAGTCATGCTCTTTTTAAAGTCTCTGCGGTGCTAAAATATCGTTCAGCGAAGCGATCGATGGTTGGTTCATACGTTATACTCGTAATCGAGTGCTGCCAGTGGGGATGAGTCCGCAAATATTTGCAAATCTGCTGCCCTCACCACTCTATTGCACCTATTACGAGCTGCCTTATATAAAGACCAATTTTCCTCCGATCTGTTACAGTGGAAAACATGAAATACACTATCTCGTCACGTCATGGCTATACGGACACCTCGGCTGATCGTTGGAGCGGAGGTCGGTACTCTATAACAGGCTTCAGCGGAGCATGGGCATCGTAAAGTTGAGAATGCATAGGTTAAAGTCGAATACTTTCTCCACCGAATATCGCCGAGAATTTAACCTTAGAATTTAGAAGCATCCCGTTGTAGTCTCTCATGATCGCCATAACGAGACGAGCGAAGTTAATTAACAGTACCTTTATCTTTGTAATTGTTTTCAGTTTTTCCTACAGAAAAATTACCCTTATTTTAATTTATGTATATGTACATAATATACTTGTACTATACATGTTGCAGTATAGTACAGGTTCATTACGTTCCCTAAAATATGGCTGGTTTAAGCGTCATGCTCGTGAACGAGTGCTACTAACGGACATGAGTCTGCTCCATGTCTGCTCTATACTACTTTACCATCGAAATTTTATCTTAATATAATTAATATAAATAACAATATATGCATTTATATTATATGACATAGCACTCAAAATGTAAATGGACGATCTTGCATTTGAATGAAATAATATGTTTCTATATACTTATATATGTAATGTATATGTATTCTATTCGTTACCCTAGTATCCCATAACACAAGCCTTACAGTGCTTACTTCGGGGCTAGGCTAATTGGTGTGTTTAAAAAAATTTAGGTATTAGTAGCGACATGATTTTATGTAAATGTTGCTACTTCTGTTAATTGCTAATGAGTTGCTAGCGCCCATTCTTCTCATCAACAAATATATATTACGAATGATTGATAGGCAAAAATATGGGACGATTCAAAAGAGCTTTCAATTAGTCAATTTTAATAAAGTCTAATTTCATTTCAATAGAAAAAATATTACTTCCGCCCTTAATAAATAAACATGGAAGCGGGCCACACACTTTCTTGTTATATTAGAGATTTTATATAAAAAAATAAAACGAATAAATAAAATCACGATGGTTGAATGTTAAAAAATACGTTGTTTTAGACTGTAATGGCAGTATTTACTTTGCCTTGCCTGAAAAGGGAGAACGTAAAAAACAATTGTTAATGACAGCTTGACAGCTGATCGAATTTATTTGACAGCTGAGTTTGACACTTGAATGAAGATGGTATTCCGTTCGTGGGTGTGCATGTGAATATGAAATTCTATTAAAAAAATCCTTCCAGAAGAAAATCGCGAATTTTAACGATAAATATAACTTAGTACTGTCCGTTTATACTGCCAAACAGCGTAGTGAACAACATAAGAGGTTGTTTTATTCATCGATCTGCTAGACTGCTCGGTAAGTTCATAAGATTTGAATTTGTAAAATTTATATGCATGTAATCTAAGACGAAACTACTTCAGAGTAAAGGAATACACTGTAGATAACAGATTACAGTTGTCAGTGTACGTATTATAGTTAGTGCATAATGTCTACGTAAATAATGACAGAGATATGTGTTTGGAAAGGCCGTCTTTACTATTTAAAAATAGATATTTCGGCACCTTGACCTGACTTCTGCCATTGCCATATACATTGCGCAGACCTAATTAACAAATTCGGGCACTGCCATCCTGTTATTTACAGTGAATATGAACAGTTTGCAAGTGCAATTGAGTGGCCAGTGTTTGTGATTTATCTACTTGTGTACCTATGATAACTTTCAGACGAAAATGTGAATAAAACTATCATTCTGTCAGCTTTAAATATTTGCTAAACACTTTATATTGCATTGTACTGCAGAGGATAAAGTTTATATAGATGACATTAACATATTAAAAAGGCTAATGTTCACCTTGATCTAAAATCTCATAAGGTGTTAGAAGTAATACATAAAATGTAATAAAAATAAATAAATTATCTTAAATAACATTGTTATAGTAAATAATTCAATTTGCACCTGCTAATTTAATTTTTTTATTAAATCTAGTGAACAAAAAGCTTTTAACTTTACACAGTTATTATTGATGAAATTAATTCAATAATTTTATTTAAAGCTGACTTTATAAGAAATCTTTTATGTACTAATACTAATACTTAACAGAATCTTACTGAATATAACTATGTAGGTGATCAAGTGTTGTGTACAATATGTATTATTGAAGAAAACTCAATGAACATAAAACAAAGTACTAAATCATAATATTAAAGTGGGCAGGTTCATAAATTCAGACAAAAACCTTAATTTCTCGACTGGCTATGGCTTAAAAAACATGGACAATGGTTTTAGTGAAGAGTTTCCGTGCTATGGCGTCATTTGGCGCACAAGCTGCACTCCGATCAAGATGGAGTTCGCTCATCGAGTCGACCAGTGTCGATGTGCCTGGAGAAGTAACGGATGGTGTTCGTTCCGTCGTTGGATGGCTGAAGCAGGCATGAATTCCACTACATATTTGTTTCGTATTTGTTATAGGAACTATCTTTGCTATAGGTCTCCTTTGGTGTTGTATTGCACTGTTGTAGCATGTTATTGCGTAAATGTCACACACACGGCTTATTAGATTCACATAGTGCTAGAATTAAACTAAGAAAAAAAAAATCTATGAAACTATCAGTCTTAAAAGTTATTTATTTTTATTTAAGCAACTGTTTCTTAAACACTAACCCAGAGAGAAACTGAAAAATACATGTGATCGTATGGTCATAGAAGCATAAATTATACTTGCCTTTTTAATTTGCTCATGATAAATATAACATTAGTCCTGTCCATTTATACTGCCAAACAGTGTATTGAACAACATAAGAGGTTGTTTTATTCATCGATATGCTAGACTGCTCGGTTAGTTCATAAGATTTGAATTTGTAAAATTTATATACATGTAGTCTAAGACGAAACTACTTCAGAGTAAAGGAATACACTGTAAAATACATGTGATTGTACGGTCAAAGAATCATAAATTAACTTGCCTTTTTAATTTGTTAATGATAAAAAAAATACTTAATAAAAATTTTGTGTCATACCAAGTTGCAGAACTACACTACAAAAAAAATTCATCACTTTACTGTTTTTAGTTTTAATTAGGAAGGAAATGACTATATGTGATTTACCAACTAGTGACTTTTTATATACTTCATTGTGTTAAAACAATGAAATTTATTAAGTCATGTCCTTTTGCTTCCTTGTTTACCTACACACCTGCAGTGTACCTACAGCCTTATCCTTTTCAAAACCATTTGAAAATATTATTTTTATTTTAAGCAATGAATTGTTTGATTTTTTGCTATAGATAGGTCTGACAAATGACTCCACCCCACCTGATGTTAAGTGCCGGTAAAGTCCAGATGTAAAGATAGCTGGTACAGCAACTCTACCTGCCACACCAGCCATCCTCACCTTGTCGGCCTGCATATAGCTTCTTCACGTCTCTTATAAAAGATCTCAGGTTGTAAGACAGTAAATCCCAAAGTAATCCCAGGTTGTAATGTGAGCAGGCAGAGCATTCCATTTACGGATAGTGGGACAGAGAATTCCATCTGGACTTTTCCTAGTAAAATATTATTTTTTCTAGAAAATGTTCCATTTGATCCAGGTGTCAAGCAAGATTGAAACCAATGCCTTTCACTATCTGGGCGAATGCACATTTTACTTGCATGTTGCTTAAGATATAACTACTAGAAAAATTTATAAAAACACGTCTTTTGAGGACTCGTAGCATATGGTTAGTTCATTCACCCGAAATTTGACGTTGTAAAAAAACCTTTTGATTTTCAAATCTAATAATTTAATGCATATTAAAAAAATATTAATTTACCAGCGGCCGCCGGCGACTACGACCGCGTTTACTTTAATTTTTCTACTATCCCACAAGAACCTAACATTTTTCTGGAGTAAAAAATATCCTGTCTCAATCCAGGTCATAAACTACCAAATTTCAGTCATCCAAATCCGTTCAGTAGTTGTTGCATGATTGAGTAACAAACGCCACAAACTTTCACATTTATAATATTAGACGAATTATATTGTTTCAGATTTTTTAGCATTTCATACTTTTGTTGAATATCAATACTGGTGTCGATTCTGGCGTGATTCTCTAAACTTAAAACTAAATTTAACATCAGTCTCCTTTTCATTCTGTATAGAGAATGACGGGGATGCACTGTTGTCAAATTTAAGTTTAGCTTTAAAGAATCATGCCAGAATCGACATCACTATGTCACTATATAGGTGTCGATTCTGGCATGATTCTCTAAACTTTAACCTTAATTTAACATCAGGCTCTCCTCTTCATTCTGTATAGAGAATGACAAGGATACACTGTTGTCAAATTTAATTTAAGGTTTAGAGAATCATGCCATAATCGACACCATATTCTACTTAAACTTTTCTTTGAAGACATCTATGAAATAGGATAAGGCTGCATTTCCACCAGAGATGTGCGAGGATGCGTTGCGACGAATGTGTTTTGGCAAAAGAATCACTTTATTTATCTATCCTCTTATGCTGCCCTAGATCTTCGGCCCTTGACAACAGTGTATCCTTGTCATTCTCTATATAGAATAAAGAGGAGAGACTGATGTTAAATTTAGGTTTCCCTACTTGGGCTCCCGCTACTATTAGCTGAGCGAGGTTTTGACAATACAAAACAAATGATGGATGTCTATTATCTACCGGATATCTATTACGAAACTACCAGTCATTAGACAGTGATTGTCATGGCAGTACTTCTCATCGCTATGTTGTATTATGCAATTATGTTGTATGTAACCTTTTAATAGGTAGGGCATAGCGGATTTGCCGCTCGAATTGGAGCGCCCGCCCGTATGGGGAAGTAACCTCACTGTAACCTTACCTTACTGTAAAATATGACTAATGTCTTTGTGTCGGTGAGTTAGGTACCAGGGCTCCACGAGGTGGCGATTGGGGTCAGGGTAGGCAACGTTCGTGGTATCGCAAGTGTCTTTGGTGGCCGTTTACCATCAGGCCAGGTGGGCCAAACGCTTGATTGACACCCTTTTAACTAAAAAAAAAATGGATGCGTGTAACTTATGTACGCGCGTGAGAAGTTATACTTGTTTAGCATCATTAAAAATATTTTTTAATTGCATGCAAATAATTAATAATTACAATAAAATAATAAAAGGACTGGAAAAGGATAGTGTGTTAACTATTGTCAACTAAGTTCAGTTTTAATTTGAAAAATTAAATAAATATTCAAAATATTCAATTAAAATCACTACTGAATTTAAGTTATTAGTCCATATGTAATTAGCACTTGTAAGTAACTAAAACACGTTGTGTCTATATAGAAACTAGAAACATGTGGATAAATATTATAAATATGAAAACAGTGATCAGAGGCGACGAGCGTGCCAACATTGTTTTTAATAAAATTATTAAAATTTTCATAACTTACTTAGAAATCAATTTAGATATGAACAAAGATCGAAAACTTATTGATTACAATGTCAAATGTTCCTTCCATACAGTTGTAAAATGGTGTATTCAATTATCTGCCCTATTTAAATGTCTATTTGACCCAGTTTTCATAACTAACGTTACCTTAGATCGAGATCAGATTAAAAGGCTTTTTGCCCACCTAAACCATGTACGGTAAGCCCCAGCTGTTTTAGTTTGATGTATTACATTACACCTATAGCGTTAACACGCGATCTATTGTCGGGGAATCTCATCTTTGTATTTTACTGTTCGCAGTTCTACTAACCCATTTTCTCTTACTAACCCAAGTTGTATGGTCGCGGTCAGAAAATGTTTACCACCTTAAGGATCATAATTGCATGCACACATTTAGGTCACAAGTTCTAAATGTCTATTTCATAATAATTTGATTGACCGTAGATTATCTTTTTGGTAATGATATGACAATGAATCGCTCTAGGCGATGAACTGATTACTATCAAGATATATATATATTTAAATACTTCGCCTCACACTAGGATTTCCTTCTGTATCGTAGGTGTAATTACAAACATATAATCTCACATGCACATACGCCCAGACCAGGACAAATTTCTGTAGGCCATAAACATATTTGTGCCGTACGGGAATTGAACCCGCTACCCGTTGCGCAGTAGACGACGACCTCTGCACTAACCTTGACGTCAAGCAAATATAGAAAACCATTGAAAAAACTAATATTTTAGTTATTTAACTAAGAATATTAAAAAAAAAAAAATAGAAACTTCAATCTTTATTTAATATCTAGTATAACCTCCCTCTGCAGCTGTGGCGGCACGTAGTCTATCTCGCATAGATGCAATAAGATGCGCGCATAAATCGGTCCCTCTAATATCGTCTCATACTCGAGCACAGTGTGATCTAAGATCATGAGGGTTCCTTTCATTTTGACAGTCCCAGCGTTGAACCATAAGCCCCCATAAATTTTCAATAAGGTTTAAATCAGCAGACCGAGCGGGCCATTGAACGGGACGAATGTCACGGTGCAGGTTGAACCACGCCATAGTAGCACGGGCCGTGTGTATCCGTGCATTATCTTGAACATAAGTAATGGGCGGGAATTCTGTTGCACACTACGCGTACGCGTAGGCAGCATCACTTCTGCCAAAAGCGACACATAATAAATGGCAGTAGCCCTATTCTCTAACGACGCCAGTTCTCCGACGCGCCGTTTAGGCTCATCCACCCCCATAAGTTTACTGTTATGCGACCTGACTCGTTTTGAGGCACGATATGAGCTTCATCATACCGAGTTCGATTATAGAGACATAAAGTTAATCTTCCGATTTGGCTTGATGGATTAAAGGTTTTCTCATCGGTAAATATAGTATTCGACCAAGCAAAATCATGATGTTGTCGCGCAAAGTTAAGCTGGGCTGTTTTGTGGTGAGGTTTCAGCTCCACTTTAATAGCGTTGTGTCGTCCGAGCACTCACATCATAATATAAAGCAGCAAAATAACTAGTTGGTGTAAAACCGTTCTCTTCGTAACGACGAATCATTTCTGTTATTTGCGCGGCGGTTAGTATTGGTCGTCGTCCTGAATTATTTCTATGATCTGTTAAATGCCCTTCTTCGCCGTGACGCCGGATCCAAAACCTCACAGTGAATTGAGATATAGCACTAATACTTGTCCATCTTCGAAGAGAAATATTATTTCAGCCCTTTGCTCCAGGGTCAAACGTGCCATTTTATTTCGTTGTGAAAATATTATTCGTAAAATTTTGCTCTTGTCCAAACAATGTTCAAACATTTTTTTTTATAAAATTAAATGTCATTAAAACAAATAAAGAAATGTTTCAATATAAAAAAATAATATATAATTCTTGTTGTTATTCTCGATGCGTCATATTGCATAATAACTTTTGACGGTAATAAGTTACTTGATATGGCATTTTAGACTTTAGTGAAAAGTGTGACATAGAATCTAATTTCAAAACTGGTAAACATTTTCTGAC